GATCTATCAAAAATAAAACATTGAGAACCAATTAAAATATTTAGCATCTCAATACCTTGAGTGAACTTAGCTAAATCATTTTTCAAGGAGTCATTTTGGTTCTGTAATAAATTGCATTTATCACATAATTCATTCTTTTTAGAAAAGGACTGAATTTTATTTTCTAATTTAGAAATAGTTCTTTTAGCATGCAAAAGATTTTTGCATTGTTCTTGAATAAAGTAAACAAGTCATTAAATTCATCTTGTAGTAAGTCAGAGTTTACCTCATTTGATTGTGATTCAATTAAATTGTCTTCTTCCTCTTGTGCTATGAGATAAAGATTGGTTATTTCTTTTTCTTCATCTTCATCTTCATCTTTTGAAGAACTGTCTCCCCAGGCTACAAAAGCTTTCTTTTTTTGACGTTTTTCTTTCTTCTCCTTTTCTTATTTCTTCTACCATTGGGAACAATCCCATTTAATGTGACCAGGCTTCTAATATTCATAACAAGTAAGAGGTTCCTTCTTATCCTTCTTGTTACTAGAAGATCCTCTTCAAAATTCCTTTTGCCTCTATAGAATTTTTTGAATCTTCTAATCATCATGGCAAACTCCTCATCTTGATCAGACTCTGTAGCTAAATCATCATTTTTTACAACTTTCAAGGCAATTCCCTTCTTCTTTTTATTCATGTCTTCCTTGTATTGTAGAAGTGTCGATTCATATTCTTCTAAGCTATCAAAGAAAGCAATAATATTGAACATCCTTGAGCCTCTGTGATAGCAATGATCTTTGGTTGCCATTCTATTAGAAGATTTTTGAGAATCTTCCTAACTTGTTCTACTTGAGAATATGTCTTTTCTAGATTTATGAGATAATTTATGATATGAGTAAATATAATCTACATATTTTTTTATGCTTTCTCCTTCTTTCATTTTAAAGGTCTCATACTCATGTATCAAACTGCACTTTCTATTCTCCTTAACTCCATCGGTTCCTTCATGAGCTTGCTATAAAGCATCCCACATTTCTTTGGCAGTTGCACAATGAGTAACACAATAATATTCAGTACAATTAAATGCACAAGCTATAATAAGCTTGGCCTTAACATTGAGATTTACGAGACATTTATCTTATTTACTCCACTCTTCTTTTCTTTTCTCTCTCATTAGCCCATCATCTTCATTTGTCATTAGGACATATAGACCTTTAGTGACAATATCCAACATTTCAATATCAAGAGCTTCGAGGTACATCATCATTCTGCTTTTCCAGAATGGGTAGTCTTCTCCCTTAAAAGCAAGTAGTCTAGTTGTAGACAATCCTTTTCCAAGGTTATCATATGCAAAATTAGCTATTGGGATCATTGTACTCTAATTGTTAAGCCAATAATGAGCAACCAGGCTCTAATATCAATTGAAAATCCACCCAAGAAGGGGGTGATTTGGGTTTTATAAAAATTTAATAAATGATAACTAAAATAAAAAGGAAAGTTTAGAGAGATGTCACCAAGCAGAGAGAAGATAAAAAAGAATAAGCTTCCTTAGATATTTATCCTGGTTCAACTCCAGCCACTTAAGCCTACATCCAGTCTTCAAATTCTTCTTGAGATTTCTCCACTAACTTTACCAAGATTAATCCGAGCTCTTAGTAGCCTCAGTACAATCCTAGACTTCAACTAAAGTTTGTATCACTCTCCATTAAAAAAGTAATGAAGTAACTCACTTAAACTCTCTAAGTTTAAGTTGCTTTGTTATTAATTAGTAAAACAGAGGGAAACAGAGTATGTTCAAAAGTGAACAATAACTGTTAAATACTCTCACTCAGAGTTGATATATAATCAATAAAGCTTACTGAAAATAAATACACGCTTAGAAGGTTGGTGAACAATAAATATGAATAACTTAAGCTTTTTTCATATTTCTTCATAGTTGAAGCTCGTTAAGGATCCGTTACTCTTATGAATATAACCATTAGAGTCAACGGCTTTTTTTGTCTAAGATATCTGAACATTTATTAAACTGGGACAATGGAACAGTGCTTTTCGACAAAGCTTTCTTTGTTACGGCAAGTATGGAAAGTAATGCAACTTTTCATTAAATGTTCTAACAAAGTAAGTGAGAATGCCATTTCAAAAGAGAAAAGCTTATTTAAGAATAAGGGTTTTATGGGTAAGAACAAACTGAGCTCAACTTATCCCAAAAACGCATTTAAAATGATTCTAGAGACATTGTATGATTAAAATGACACTCAAAATGTGAAAGGAAATGATTCAGCAAAGGTTATGAAAACCTCTGTTTTTCTCGCACGAAACAGAGTATGAAATAGTGTGATTGTTTCAGAATAGGCGAGGCTCTTCAAGAATCAGGAAGAATATATTAAAGGAAAATAGAGAGAGCTTATTTCAAAGTAAATAGCATATATCGAAATAAAGTTATGAGATGATGATCTAAAAGACTTTATTTAGGAATAAGAAGAGCTATTCCCAAATAAGCTATTCTTAACCAACTATTCCCAAATAAGCTAAACTTCATAAAGACTCAATGCATAAGCTTATGAAGATCAGACCACTACTCTAAAATAAGAACTGCTATTCCAAAATAGACTATTTCTGAATCGGCAGAAGGGATGATGCTTGGGAAGAAGGGAGGCTTACTTGGGAATAAGCTAGTTCAGAATAAGGTCACTATTCTAGAATAAGGACCAATGATCAGGAAAACAACAAAGGCATATAGACTATGAGATTTTGATCCAGGAAAGCTTGAGACACCTTTTAGGCAGTATGAGATATTAATATTAAGTCAAATACTTAATCTTTTGCGAGAAACACGACGTAAGAAGATTAAAGAAGATTTTACATGTTTTTGCCTATTTGGGAAGAAAGCAACTATTATGGAATAATGAATTCTACAAAAATTTAAATTTAAGTTGATCGATTCCCTTACAAGTCATTGATTCTTGATTATTAAACCTGTCAAACACAATATTCTCTCATTTTGTAATCATCAAAACCAAGGTTCAACAAGGATTGAAGCTACATATACAGGGTGTTGTCAAGTGAAGTGACAGCAAAACATTTGATGTTCTTGTTTGGTTACTAAAATTCATGTGCTTGTTTTGAAGCATTTTTGTCCTTCAAGGGTAGTCATAATTAGCAAATTAGTTATATATATACCTAATTTGAAATAGCTAAACCATAAATAATAAATTTTTTGGCTACTAGTTGTTATCATTTGAGAGTTTGCAGCAACTTCATCATAATGGAACTTTGAGGTGGAAGTTTAGAATTATCAATAACTTACATAAGTTGCAAGTATTTCTAACTCAACCTGGAAATACATTCCCTTGACTTTTTCTAGAAAACCATATAAGAGTCACTAATATTGTTTTTACAGATCACACTAGCTGTAGCATACCTCAATAACTCTTATGCTCAAGCAGTAGACCGTGTAATACTCTTAAACTCCTAGAATAATGATTTCTTCAACAATAAAATAGATAATTCCCAATCAATTCCTACCAATACTGTACTCAAAATAGAAAAAAACTATTTTGACAAACACTCAATCATTAAAGACATTGAAGCTCAAAAAACTAATCTTAGTTTAGCAAACCTACTTCAATCATGCAATGCAATGGTCTTAAGATTGAAGCATGGTAGTAATGCCAAATTGCAATCATAATATTAAATGTTGTTATGTATTTAACTATAACCTCTTCAACAAACTTAAAAGGCTAAAAATGAATCAATTCAAAATAAAGGAAGACAAAGACAAAATAAATAAAACAGCAACTGAATCTTAAAGCAAATAATTATTTACTCTAAATCATTGTTGAATATTCTTATTAAGGACCGTGAAAAATGGGTGAATTATATAAAATGTTCACGTAAAGCAAATGAATCTTATAACAAATTATATTTACTCATCCTTTTTTCTTAATGGTATAATGGTTAATTTAGATCCACAGCACCGCATAGATATTGGGCAACCCTTTATAGTTTTTTTTTTGTAAATCTAAGAAAGCCTTGCACGAATTATTAAAATAAAAAAGTGATTTCATATATTTAGTGTATTTTATACGTGTGTGTAAAACCATGCTCAAATCATGTTTGATAACAAAAGGCTATCTAAATCACAATTGAAGTCTATGCAAAGAGATTCGTATATGAACCTAGGAAAGAGAAATGATAGGATCTTCTTTAGAGTTGACTTTTGCTTCCTTGCTTCTTCAGAGATAAAGGGCTATAATAATTATCTATAAGTTGAATCAACCCAATATGGTCCAAGGAGGGTAAAGAAAAACTGAAAGACAAAGAAGATGTAGGATATGGTCACATGTAACAAAATTACAAAATGTGCTTTCTCTTATCTAGTAATGTTTAAAATTTTAATAGAAGCCCATAAGGAGGATGAGAAAGATACTATAGGAAGGCCTTGAAAAGACAAAGAGATAGCAACCCATGATGCACCAACCTTGATTACCCAGAACCCCTAAAGAAAGGAAAAGGTGGGTTTGAAGTCAAAGAAAGGAGCGAGAAAACCAATTAGAACCTAGGAGGGGAAGAAGTTCAATTTGACCAACTTCATCTGATGGCTTCTAGAGAAACTTGTGCAAAAAAAGGACAATGGAGACAAGTAAAGTAGCATAGCCCAAAGTATTCAAGGACAAAATAGCATAAAATGAAAACAAGTCAGAATATATACCTGGACAAAACAAAGTAACATCATCTAAAATGCTCAGATAGGAAAAACCCACAAAAAAGCCTATACGGTAGATAACATAACAACATAACCCCAAAGAAGAACACCCATACAATTTCTTCCCTGACATTGAATCGAAGCCGAATGTAATAACCAAAATGAAAGAGGCATGATAACTAAATTTCCAAAGAGATAAATACCCTACTAAGAAACACCATAAGCAAATATACAACAAAATATGAGACAAAGGCACACAAGAAATGGGAAGGAAAAGGCACAATGTGGAAAATGTAAAAACATGTGTTAGATATCATCCACTAGAGAACCAGATACAATGCGAAAGCTAAAACCCATGCATGGGACCCACAAGAAAAAAGCAACATCAACGCCTGAAGAGCAGAGCAGTTAGGAATACTGACTTTAGGGTCTCTCAAGTGTCCTGACGCATCGTCTTCATCTCTCCCAATACCACTTTCCCTCCTGGGACCACATATCAATTCATCATTCCCTTTCAGATTTTTTCGAAGTATATGCTGTTGAGGAAGACTCAAAGTTCCTCCAATGTTGTTAAGGAAAAAAAATTGGAGTCGTCAAGGAGGATAAAGAATGCAAACTTTGGAAAGAGAGGTAGAGGGAAGAGATGAACAGTGATGACCAAGGTTATGGAATGTTTTGGAATGGCTGAAGACAGGGAGGTGAGAATGAGTGAGAGAGATGACTGATGAGCAAGGGGAGTAGCAAGTCCACTACACTAAATTTCCTAAAAAATCAATAAAGATCAAGGAACCAACACTGAAAGCATGTCCCAGTCAATTGGAAGGCAATCTTGTTTGATAAAAAACAACATGCTGTTCACATGTTAGAAAGTGACAATTTGTTAAGGATATTTTCATCAATACACTAATCAAATACTGTTGATGGTCCACCAACCTTTAGATATAAGATTGATAATTTAAAATATTTTTATTTAATTAGTTATAATTAATTTTATATTAAGTATTTAATTTTTATTAATTATTAAATTATATTATTAATTAAAAATGAAAAGATGAGAAAACGCCAACTCCCAATTTATATTACATTAATATTAATTATTTTTAACTTATGTCATACTTAATGGAGTTGTTTTAAAAAATATATCTCTAATATTAACTACTTCTTATTTTTAGTTTATTTTATATAAATAAAAATTAATTCATTATTAAATAATCCCAGAAGAAACAGTTATAAAATTTAGAAATAAGTATAATTGGATGCATATAGGCATGGTACAGATTTCAGTTAAACCTAATTTTAGATTGGGTTTAGATGAACTTATATTCATATGCCCAAGAGACAGAAGATAGAAAAAAGATTTTCAAAAATCTATAATAGGAATTATACAGTCAAATTTGTTTGAAGGACCAATCTATTTTGATTGTTTCTCGAACTATGTAACAAGACTTAAAAATGATAATTATAGAGAAGCTTTAGTAATAGAAATAGGTAGTAAAGCAACATGAAAAAAAGGAACAACGTACATGGTTGTTCAATACAGAATTATGTTTAAAATACAAAAAACACACCAAAACTTTAAAGGTAAAAAGGAATCACCTAGAGGAGAAACCATGCTAACAAAAATAGGAGATCCTTCAAAACTTCGATTGTTGTACCAAAAAAAAATCAAACATACTAAAATTCAAATTCTAGAAAGCTGGACTTTTTCATAGCTAACAAAACCAGTAATGGAGAAGACATCTCTCTTACTTATACTTACTGGTGGAAACCCATTCATCCAAATCTTTTAAGGAATTATAATGCTCACAAGGTATCTAATCTTGTTATAAAAAATCCCAACTCTTAGGTTGCTTCTTGTTGAAATGGTTCTACTATCAAAGCTTTATATGATGAAGCAATTGCTAAGTCCATGCTTTGCAATCCAATATCATTCACTGATGGAAATGATAAACTCATATGGGGTACAGGTCCTTATTATGCTAAAGAGGGTTTTACTAAGCTAATGCTTGTTGTAGATATGTGGATTCCGAAAGCGTACCTATAAGTTGCATTGGATTATATCTCTATGTGGAAACTGAGTTACTGTATGAACTCTGATAGGTTTCATAATGAATTCACTGATGGCAAAGAGAAGAGGAGAGAACAAGAAAAAGGAAGTTTTTCTTTTTGGAGATATATTGTAGAGAATCATCCGATATGGTTTCATGCATCCCATTTGTTAACTCCCACTCCATACACGGTTTTCATACTTGAAAGTAACTACTTTCTCTACAACATATGAAGAGGAGAATATTGCGCTTAAGTGCCCACCTAAATTACACTTAAGAACCCATCCTTTGTATTATGATAAAGCCCCATTCATTAATGTGGGCTTATCTTTGGGCCTGATCCACTAAGGGTAGATATCCCAACATCTCCCACTCATATTTAGTGGATAAGATATACCTGGTCCCATCTCTATCTCTTCCCTATTTTCATATGAGATGCTTTACAGTGACCACATAGACTTGACGTCTCCATTTTGGGCATTTATACTAGAAATTCTATTACAAACCAGCACAAAATAACCCTAAAGCTTATTTATACTTATGTTGACTTTGTGCCTTGGATGTCCTAGATTTACTTTATATACACTTTTCTCTTAGACACTCTATTCCCTCTCTGAGTCAATATAAGACTCAGATTGCCTTTCTCCTAGGCATAGTGTCTATACTTATGAACCCACAAAATGATGTCATAAGGGACTAGTCTTAAACACTAACATAGGCGTGTATATATTATGTAATCTTCCTTTCACCCATGTATCACTTTAATAAGAAATAGTCACTTTCATAGCACATTACCTTTAGATCACATCTATCATGATCATATGATATATGCTAAAGTAGTAGGTACTATATCTTACCTCCATGATTTTGTCAAAGTCAAAGGACATTAATGAAAAGATTATTCCTTTCTAGGACTCACACAACAATGATGTAGGGATTATTTCACTTGCTTCCTAACTGTGGTTCTTAAACACATGTGGTATGAGTCATATGCTACGGTGTTACTCTTATCTCATAAGAGTGTATGTCATTTTTTTTACCATTAACACCATACAGACTTAAGTTTAGACACATAATGTCTAACCCAAATTCTTTCACTGATCTCACATGATGTTAATCTTGAAGAATTTACTGTCTGGCTATAGGTATCACAGATATGGGAATCCATGACTTGATCTACATATATATAGACAGATCTCATCTCAATACACTCCTTATTTTATGTTGAGGCAACATATAGTTTGCATTCTTCTCTACCATATTAGCACTCTTGCTGCCTTACTAGTGAATATAGATGTCATAACTTTGGTTGCTCCTCTTGAGAGTCAAAGGCAGTTGCTCATGTGAGAGAGCCAACCTTTTTAACTTGCACGACATACTAGACATTGTATACTTCCATGCTCGCACACACACACGCGCACACACACACACACACACACACACACACACATATATAGCCATATATGCTTTGTAAGAGGATTTGTTATCTCATACTATGTAGGAATTAGTTGTCCAAATACAACTATTTGTGCTATATCTTGCAATGTCCACCTTGACATTACCAGGACAATACTCACACATCATTGTGATAATTAGGATTTAATAAAACCCCTTACCAAAGATACCACAACTCAAGGGTTTGAAAATAATTAGTTAAAAAATTAGGATTCCAAGAAAACCCTTTTTTAAAAAATATTATTTGAGCTCAAACCATGGTTAAAAATCGATTAAGAGCAAATAGGGAAGCATGAAAATCATTTCACTTAAAAACAAACAAAAACAAGTCATTTTGCCCTTATCTGGTCCCTTGAGAGCCTCTTGTGCTGCGACATAACAATCATACACTATGGTGCGCACCTACTGTCATGACTTTTTTTTTGAACTTTCAAAGCTTACCGTTTTGCCATCCGACATTTGATTTAAACGATTTAAGTATCCACACAAACTCTTTGAGCCCTTTAGCTAATGACACCAGTCTCACACTTAAACAATCATCCGTTTAAAAGATGGACACCCGAACCCAAAATGGTTTGTTTTCACAACAAAACACATATTATCGTGTCCAACTCACACTGCACAATACCATTAGCCCCAGAGACACCTTGACCACCTCAAATAGGCCACACACCATATAACAATCCATTTATATCACATAATGAAGTAATCATGCTCAAAATGACCACCAAACCCCCATTGGACAATAACATAATGGGTGGATAAAATTCAACACATAAATTAATTGGTCATTTTGGCACTCAAAACACTTGAAATATATATATATATATATATATCACTTGTAAATATAACTTAGCCAAGCACACGCTTAATCCAATACATCAAACTTGGACCAAGATATACATACTTATCACAAGAATCACACAAGTAATATCCAAATAATGTCATGTTCCTCAGTTGGCAATATATAGTGACAATATTCTTTACAAAACCAAAAAGGAGAAAGGGAAGAGCTATACTATAACACTCTTATAACCACGAGGTGAGATAAACATCTCACTAACTAATATAGTTTATCAAATGTTTGTTATCACAAATAACCATGAAAAAGTATCAAAGCCATAAAAATAACAAGCATACCATAATTATGAGATAAGTGTATTTCTTCTCAACAAAACACATAGTTTTACACTAGCATGATTGTCTAACAATCGAACCTCCAATGCTCTCCGACATGAAACCATAAGCTCTCCTGGTTCAACCACTTGTTGACCTGAGCACACTTTCAATAGTTGAAATACTCGACCAAAGGTAATCTAACTCACCTATGGACTATAGTTTTTCCCTCTTCACACACTTGTGATAGAGGCGTCATTGATTTCTAACCTCACCCTAATGGGTACTAGGGAGTTGCCAAATTGCCCAGATGTCCCATGGTAATAGTCCTATATAATGCTGCACCAGATGTCTTATGGTGTCAGCCTGACCATATGAATTTTTTACTCACATATCTCCATACACACATATTCCTACATATCTCGGGTGAATTCCCACCCCTTATGATCACACTCTTCACAATTTCCACTACTTTTCATCGCATTTTCACATCGCAAACTTATATACATAGTATATACATTTCAATTAGAAGCAATAACCATTTACAAAACACTTTTTCATGCTAAAAATCATTTACAATATCAAATTATGCACAAACCTCTTCAAAACCACAACTTTATCATTTAATAATTACTTCTACACAGTTATAATAGTTAATAAACACAATGAACTATATGGTTATCTCAACCCCTTTGTCACACCAAAAGGGTTACCGTGGCTCAACGTTACCTCCACACGTTCTATATGTACGATATGGCTCGAACAATGCTCAATCTACACCAATAAGTGACAATCTTCAATTATCACTCCGGATAACTCCGAATTCTCTAGGTTCTAAGTGCCTAAAATACTCAAATTCCTTTTTTAACAACATCAACCATTCCCACACACTCTAACCATCCTATTACATATTCCAACACACCAAATTCAGTAATCAATGTCCCACTTTGTCTCAAAATTCTCAAATTATACTTAGGGTTTGTCCCAACTCTTATCAAAAATTCTCAATCACCACAAAACTCATAAACTTAAGGTTAGAAGCTTGATTTAACTCTTCAAGATCTTAAATAAACTAATGGGTTTGGTCTAAACCCAAGGGGACCAAAATCAAAACCCCTATTACCCCAAATGTTCAAATTTTCATATAAAAGAGGGAGAAAAGGGAATGTACAACTTATGTAATGGTGATTCAAGCTCCAAATGGCCTCAAATTAGCCTAGGGATCGTGCCCTAGCAGACCATAAGCTTTTCTCCATCACTCTCTCGGTATTTCTCCATTTCTCTTTTGTTTTCGATCTATTTTTTGCATCTGATAAGTGCAAATTTTGCACGTACACCACAGTACATCGACACGCCCACCGTGGCGCATGGCACAGAAAGCCCCACAAAATTTTAAACTTCTATCTGTGCTATAGCCAGCTTGAACCTCGACCTAGCCCTTTTCTAAGGCTGTCTAAGGATCCAAAAACCATATTAGTCTTCATAAACCTCGCTAAATAACAACTTATCTAAACTGACCAAATTACCCTTGAAAACACTAATAATTACTATGAGGAAACTTAGGATGTTACAATTCTCCCCTCTTTTTAGGAATTTTGCCCTTAAAATTCAGAATCTTGCTCAAACACATACCTGTGTAAATAATTGGGGATACAGTTGCCTTATCTTATCCTTGATCTCCCAAGTTATATCACCGAGAGTCATACCCTTACAAAAGACCTTAACCAATTGAATGGTCTTGTTCCTCAATTGTCGATCTTTCACATCTACAATCTGCTTTAGTTCAGCTTGATCGGTCAAGTTATCTTAGAGTTCCACCTCTTCCAACTTAATGACATGAGAAGGATCAGGTTGACATTTCTTGAGCTAACTTACATGAAACACGTCATGTACACTTGATAAGCTCGGTGGTAAGGCAATTTGATAGGCAGTAGGTCCCAACTTCTCTAAAATCTCAAAGGGACCCATAAATATGGGAGCCAATTTCTTAGCCTTTATCAATCTACCAATGCCAGTCATTAGCATGACCCTCAAAAACCTATGATCACCAACCAAAAATTCCAACGGTCTTCTATGCTGATCCGGGTAGCTTTTTTGTCGACTTTAGTCTGTCAATAACTTTTGCTTAAACAATTAGATCTTTTGGGTGGTTTGGTCTACCAAATCCGAACCCAACAAACTTCTCTCACTTAATTCTGTCCAACATAGAGGCGATCTACATCTTTTTTGATATAATGCCTCGTACAAGAGCCATTCCAATACTAGAATGAAAACTGTTGTTGTAAGCAAATTCTGCTAACGGTAGATGTGTATCCTAACTAACTCTCAACTCTAAGGCACAAGCTCGCAACATATCCTCGAGCATTTGGATAGTCCTCTCAGTCTGACCATCCGTTTATGGATGATATACCGTGCTAAATTTCAACTTAGTGCCCATTGCTCTCTACAACGCTCTCTAAAAGTTTGATGTGAACCTTAGATCACGATTAGAGAAAATGTCCTTTAGCACCCCATGAAGTCTTACTATTTTATTTATATAGACCTTGGCATACTTCTGAAGTGAATAGGTAGTCTTTACTGTCAATAAATGCGTTGACTTCGTCAACTGATCCATAATCACCCATATTGCGTCATAGCTCGCTTGAGTTTTAGGCAATCCAGTAATGAAATCCATTGATATGCTATCTTACTTTTACTCTAGGATCTCTAGTAGTTGCAACACACCACCAGGCCTTTAGGCTCAATCTTAACTTTTTGACACGTCAGACACCTAGTCACAAACTATGTCACGTCTTTCTTCATTCCTGGTCACTACCATATTTGCTTCATATCCTGATACATCTTAGTGACACCAGGGTAAATAGTATACTCACTACGGTGTGCTTTCTCTAGGATCGTCTTTCTTACCTCCTCATCACTTAGCACATAAATTCGATCCCGATAAGTCATAAATCCATCATCATTGAATTCAAACTCTGTAGGTCTCCTCTTTTCAATATCCTCATGGTTCCTAAGTAGATACTCGTCCTCAAATTGAGTAGTTCTCAACTCTTTCTAGAATTCATTGGTTATGACCGTAGAATGCATGTTGTATAATGTTATCTGTGGTACTTTCCTTTGAGTATCTAAGAAAGTCTCCAGTAATCGATACTCTTGAACCATCATATAAACAACATGTACCGTTTTCTTGCTTAATGCATTTGCCACTACGTTGGCTTTACCCGGATGGTACTTGATCTCAAAGTTGTAGTCCTTGAGAAATTCCATCCATCTGCGTTGCCTCATGTTTAGTTCCTTTTGATCCATTAAGTACTTCAGACTTTTGTGATCACTAAATACTTCAAACATAGACCCACAAAGATAGTGTCGCTAAATTTTCAAGGCAAAAACCACTGCTGCTAACTCCAAATCATGAGTTGGGTGATTCTCCTCATGTTATCGCAATTGTCTTGAGGCATATGCAACAACTCACTCATCTTGCATTAAAATGCACCCTAAACCTTTCAACAATGCATCTGTGTAAACTACATACGACAATCGAGGATTAGGAATAACCAGTACTGGAGCAAACGTCAATTTCCTCTTCAACTCTTAAAATACTGATTCACGTTTATCGGTCTACACATATGGCTGATCCTTTCAAGTCAACTTAGTTAAAGGAGATGCAATTTGTGAAAATCCCTGAATAAATCACCGATAGTAGCCTCCCAATCCCAAGAAACTTCTAATCTCTATCATTGAGGTAGGTAGTTCCCATCTCAACATAGCATCCACCTTGTGTGGATCCACGACAATTCCGTCTACCGATACTACATGACTAAGGAATCTCACTTCCCTTAGCCAAAACTCACATTTGCTGAGTTTGGCATATAACTTATTGTCCTTTAAAATTTATAGGACAGTATAAAGATGCTTCGTATGCTCTTCCTCATCTCTTGAGTAAATTAGAATGTCATCAATGAATACTGCCACGAACTTATCCAGATAAGGATGGAAGATTCTGTTCATGTAGTTCATAAACACTACCAAAGCATTCATCAATCCAAACGGCATCACTAGAAACTCATAGTGACCGTATCTAGTGCGAAAAGTAGTCTGTAGTACATCCTCAACCCTGACTCGCAACTGATGGTAGCCGACTCAGGTCAATCTTTTAGGACACTGCAGCTCTAATCAACTGATCTAGAAAATCATTGATCCTAGGCAAAGGATACTTGTTCTTGACTGTGACTTTGTTCAACTATCTATACTCAATGCACAGCCTCATACTATCATCCTTTTTCTTCACAAATGACATTGGTGATCCCCACAGGGACACACTCGGTCTTATAAACCCTTTTTCTAGTAATTCCTTCAATTGTTTCTTTAGCTTTGCCAACTCTGATGGAGATATTTGATAAGGAGCTTTCGATATGGGTTCTTTTCCAAGCATAAGGTCAATAGAAAATTCCACCTCTCGCTCAGGCAGTAATCCAAACATTTCTTCTGAAAATACTTCAGAAAATTCATTCACCACTCCAATTTTCTCAATTTCTCCGTAATAAGTAGCATGAACGGAAAAGAACACCATATATGCTGACAACCCTGTTGAATGCACTTTTCTACTTGCATTACCGACAAGAATCTTGACTGACTAGATTTTACTATAGGTGCAGTGCACGCTGGCAAGGATATTATCTTTCTTACACAATCTAGTGTCGCATTATTTGCCGACAACCAGTCCATATCCACTACTACATCAATCCTAATCATGGTCAGACAGATCAAGTCGATAGTAGTTGATCTATTCTCAAATCTCAAATCTATACCCAGACAAGCATGGTCAGTTCTTACAGAAATTCCCGCCAACATGGACACATTAATCAAATATGGCAAGGTATGCACAGATGATTTTAACCTCAATACACAGTCATCAGAAATGCAAGAATGGATAGCACCAGAATCAAACAAAGCATCTATATCACAGTTGTGCAGAGAGATTTTACGTCTAATCAAATTTAGAGACACACCTGCCTCCTCCTGGGACAACACAAATACTCTCCCAGGAACAGTCGATATCTGCTTTGTGTGACAAAATTTTAAACTTCCTTCCGTGTTATGGCCTGCTTAAACCTTGACCTAGCCCTCTTTTAAGGCTGTCCAAGGATCAAAAAACCATATTAGTCTCCATAAACCTCGCTAAATAACAATTTATCTAAATTGACCAAATTACCCTTGAAAATACTGATAATTACTAATAAGGAAACTTAGGATGTTACATATCTCATACAAAGTCTTTGCATCCATATTTTCAATTTTGTTATGATACTCGAAATCTTGCTCCTGCATAGCGAAGGCTATAGTATAGTTACATATATTTACACTAGATTTAAATTCTCATTTACAAATCCAAAGTGTTCCATAGAACTAGCCTCTTATATCATTACAGTACATGTTATAAAATAAATTTATTTGACAACATGGTGCCCTTCAAGTATCTCAACATCTTTTTCATTGCTTTTTAGTGTTTTTCATCATGGTTGGACTAGTAACAATTTACAAGTCTTATATCACAAAATGAATAACTAGACTTATATGTGTTACTGTGTATAATACCAACAACACAATTGTATAGAGAACTTTTTTCACTTTCTTCTTCCGTTATTTTTTTATATACAGAACATGATTTTTCATTCTCTTTTAGAATAACTATAAATGACTCATCTTTCATATGAAAATGTTTCACAGGAACATTCTCTATGTTACTCTCAAAGCTCCCACTTATATCAACATATATAGGGATAATTTAGTTAGCTTGTTCTATACAACCTTATTTTGTGTCTCTTGAAGAGATACGATGTGGCCAATTTCCTCCTAGGTAGGGAGTTCATTCTTTAAGAAATCGAACATCTCACAATTTAAATTCAATCATAATTCCAACTTTCTTTTCACTTATGAAAAAATAACCTTTTTAATCTCTCAAAGAATCTAATGAAAGACACATTCTTTTCCTTATGGAATTTTTTTTATGTTTGTGGGAATCATCATGGACATGTGTAATTAATTCCCATAGTCTAAGAATATTTAAATCTGATTTATGTTCTATCCATAACTTAAAGGGTGTGGTTGTGACTAACTTTGAGGGCATATGGTTGTGTCTGACGACAATTATTAGTCAAGTATCTTTAACATGAAATTTGTGGACTTATTTATGCCAATATCAACTTAACCGTATCTTATAGTATTTTATTTCAGCAACTCTACTCTATTGTAGAGTGCTTAAGATATTTAACCACTTCATTATCCCTTTTTTTAGTTAGTTTAATTGACTAAACAAATATTTACAATCTCAATCATTTAGTAACAATTCAAGAAATTTTATTGTTTATTTGATTTTGTACCTCACTTAGGTACTATCTAAAGCACTCAAAAACTTCATATTTGTGAAATAAAATACACATCATGACTATATTGTAAATAATCATTAATAAATTACCAACTTTGTGATTTGTCCTTACACTCATAACACCACATAAATCAAAATGGAGGAATTAAAATGGATACTTTATTTTAGTTTCCTTAATTGAAAAGTTTTCTCATTACTTTATCAGTTAAATAATTCTCACACAAGGACACTTTCTCATTAGAAATTGAGCCTAACATTCTTATTTTACCAGTTTTACTCATTCTTTTCCAATTTATATGTCTTAGCCTTAGCATGTCTATTGCGCCTATCAATATTAGAATTAAAACAATCATAAAGGTGATTGTTACTAATAATATCCAAAGAATTTTCTTGAAATAAAAATAGAAAAAATTGTTCATTTCTTAATGTCTGAAACTTTATCATAAAAGTTTATAATAAACCCATAATATAGAAATTTAAAAAAATGTTCCATTGGTATTTTGGTGCTTAAAAGACACTACAAAGGGTCTTTTTCTTTTCTACCATGTAAAGCCAATTCCTTAATTTTGCCTTGTTGCCAATATAAATCCATTTGCTTTTAATTCAGCAATTAACGGTACTCTATGAGGGATCCTCAATCCCTATCATTTCTATGTAGAGCCTGATTTTAAAATTCAACAAGAATAAATAGGTTTTGTTAGAAAAATAGAGTACTTGTCACATTTAAAATATGTGAATTGATTCTATTCACTAGTACCTTATCCTATTTATTTCGCTCAAGACAATCCCTTGCGAAATGGCCCATTTTCTAGCAAGTATAGCATTCGACCATTCTTAAGTCAGCTTTCTTCCCAACTTTCTTGCCTTTCTTCTTGAATGATTTCATATTCTTGAAATTTGAGTCATCTTTCTTACCCTTCTTACCCTTTTGAGAATTAGCTTAGGTATTAGAAGGACCATCATCCTCAATTATGTATGCCTTTTTGAAGGATTTATAAGCCTCAAGGCATTCATCTTAAAGCTCCAAATGTTTTGCTATATTGTCAAAAGTGACAATGTTATCATTATGGGTCAAATTTACTTTCATGCACTCCTAGCTAGAAGGGAGTGATCTTATAATAGCTTGAACGTGCTGTTCATTAGACAATATGTGTCCAGCTTCTTTCAATTCTTGGATCATATTAGCTATCTCATGCAGATGCTTTCTCATGAGAGTATTAGGCTTCAGCTTAAAAGTGTTAAACTTTATTGCCAACCTTTTTAGTTTAGTGGTAAAAGTACCTATACTTGTCCTTCAGTGCGATCTACATAGCTTGAGCAGTGGCGTACTTATCATACTTGCACATAAGGTCATCAGTCATTATACTTAGTAAAGTAATGCGTGCTACACTATTTTTCTTTTTCCAAGCCATGAAAGCCTCATGATGCCTCCTGTTCTGGGCAAAACTCCTAGTTCTAGGTTCCACCATTGTCATAATCAATGGCTTAATCACATCTTGTTCCTCTAATATGTATGAGACCTTTTGGTGCAAGATATCCCAATTGTTCCTGTTTAGCTTATCCCCTTGGTTTAATTCAACAATTATGTTCTTGGTAGCCATTCTCAATTTAGTCACAAAACCATTTCACATGAATAATGTTTTCTATTATTGAATTAAATTAAAGAATATTTCAGCAATATAACACAAGAAGGTAATAATATCATATACTTGTATCATTCTTAACTAGGATAAAAATGGCATCATTAGGTCTATGATCAGGAGACTATATTTGTACCTCCCATTACATAGATTCTAGTAATGCCATTAACATTTATTAGGAATTTTATACAAGTACTTCAAAATAAATTTTCATTTACAACTCTAAGAAAACTCTTTTTTCTAAGAGCTCCCACTCAAACGAAGCATACATTATTTATATTAAACCATTTAATAAAATAAGTCTAAAACATGCTTTATGATACTCAAAATAAACATGTAGTCTTTGTACATATTTGAAACGCAAAATCAAAAGTTACAAGACAATCATATGAGTAGGTACTTTCATGTATTCTTATCATTTACCTTTTATCATCTTTTTATGATAAAATATTTTATCTCCTTAATTCTTATAAGGAGTTTCGTTTCATCATTTAAATGAGATGACTCTTGTTTTGTAACTTTTTCAAAGTCTTGAGAGGACTTTTGTAATGCCTTACCCTTTATAATATGATAAGTCCACAGTTTTTTTTTTTTTTAGTTTAGGAATGGAGACAACCATAAATATCCTCAACCATACTCCAATATTCTTCAACACATTTGATTACTTGGAGTTTTGTCTTCAACCCCCTACACATATGTAGAGTTATCTCTTTATCTCTCTGATTATTCATAATTAATCGGGTTCCAAAATTTGCTATTAGGGAGTGTATTTAAGATAGCACTTTCCTAAACTCTTTCAGGGAATGAAAATTATTCCTCATTTAATTGAGCTTATTTAAATCATCAATACTTTGCCTAATAAATGATTTAGAGAAATTAATTTATGCTATACTATTATAAGTTATTCATATGTCCTCTCTTCCCTTTCCAATTGTATTACATTGGAAAAATTCTTTCAAGATTAATTGTGAAACTTTATATTTATTGTACTTTTACAATTATCTTTTCATTCGGAATAATTTTTTTATCATTAAAATTTTGGCTCGCAGTTAGTTTGGATCAACAATTGATTTAATTTGAATCAATAGCCATATCACTTTTTAAATCCTCACCAAGTGGTAATTTTATTTCTATAGGTTCCATTTTAGAATCCTCACTAAAGGATAACATTAAAAAAAAATAATTTATTTGAAATACCTCTTAGAGAAAACATTTTTCAAATTTTCAATGCTTTTGGTGGTCTTACAACTCATATTTATCCATATGATAAATAACTTAAATGATTATAATTATTTTTATGATTTTTAAATAATTAAAATTCACTCACATAAGCAGTGAAAAACTTCTTAAATTGATCTAAATGTACTTCAAAATAAGTAAATTATATATCAAAATGTAGACCTCAAATTTAGGAATTTTTAAAAATAAACCGTGTCTCAATCGGATGCTTCACACGCCTACACGAGCCCCTAAAATTAGTCTAGATAAAAAATTATAAAGAGATAGGAACTTCCAACAAAGTCCACTCTCAATGGTGGAGAGTGT